AGAGAGAGAAAGATCTGTCTGTGATGCGCTCTGAAAGACACCTCCAATAATAGATATTTATTATTCAAGTATTAGAAGAAGCATATCATAATTATTGTCAACAAATTTTTTCAACTCTATTTTGAATTTGAGTTTGTTTCTCATACCTTTCAATGATTCAGGTAGAGTGTAGTAAAGTTTGGGTTCCAGATAGGTTATAAATTTTTGATTATGCGTGAGTCTGCATCGTGGAACATTCATGGTCTTAACTGAACTGTTACGAGTTTGAAAGCATGCTGTACAAATTTGATTGGAGAATTACCAGTCCATAATAAACTCTGAAAAATGTAAGTTTTTCCAACACCGAATATCCCAGTTTCATCATACAACGACTGGGTACAAGACCTCCGATCTTTTTTCATCGTGATTCTTATTAATGAATTTTTTACGAATGGACTGTTTTTACGGGGCTATTTGAAGCAATAGCATTAATTTCATTATCCCAAGTTTCAATTTTTTGAGTTGACCCTTTCAAAAAATAAAAGGGGGAGGGGGCATTAAAGAAATGCACTGTATAATTTTTATCGCCATTTTTCCTCATCTACTTAGTATGATTTCCGGACGCCAATGCAAGAGACAAAAACGTCAATCATTTCTGAGAATTTACTGCCTACTATTTTGGAATTATTACATAGTTAGTTTTGATATGGATTTTCAACAAGTATCGGCCAATAACATTCAATGATTCATAATGAGACGGAGCAGACCAACAAATCCAAAGTTTCAAGGGTGCTATTCATAACAGAACTTTCTAAAATTTAAAATTTTCTCCAACCTTGAAACATATTGCAAAACTATCCGTGCTCCGTCTCAAATCTTTTTCAAACAATAGAAACTCAAACTTGCACCCTCCTAAAGAAAACCTCATTAGTCGAATTGAAAAAAAAAATGACTTACCATGAAAATAATCATTACTATAAAACAAATGCCAACAACAATGGCGAAGGGAATAAGCAGATGGGTCTGAATATTAAATGGCGACTCTCCAGTAATCACCACATAATATTCATTGTTGGTGAAGTGCAGCAACTCTAATCCAGATCTTTCGCCGACAAATACCGAAGGAATATAAATTCCGCTTCCATTATTAGCCGCCATCGGAATCAATGCGTCCGAACCTACATTGTAAACTATGACAGCGTCGTACTTCGCCATTTGGGCATTTCGAACCTTCTCCTCAAATGAACAGTTCATAATGTCATTGTATCTTGGTACAAGCAAAATCCATTTGCCTATTTCGTTATATATGACCGGAGGTGGTAACAATGATTTGTTAC